TCCACGACTCTTGGGACCGAGAACCATATCATTTAGGAACTAGATCCCATAGATGTTGGGAATTCAAACACATTCTTAAAGGAACTCGTTTCCTTGGAAAAGGAATTGAGAAACTAAATTCCAAAAAATGTGATCCTTGAAAGGTCCATTCTTGGGGCCTTACAATCGAGATCCTAGAAGGGATTGCGTACCAAAGTTGGTGATTCCGATAACTATGATTATAGCTTGCAGACACTGCCCTTAAAATTTTGGCCAAGGGAATTCCCAAAAACCTGTAACCCTTAACTATAGAACCATACTAGTGCATTAAACATCAGGACACCCTAAACTGTTCATGAAAGGAGTGGCAATGTGGAATTCTAGGCTGTAAATTGAAAAATGTATTTCTTTCTTTTATCAATTGCTGGAAATTCTATTTATAGGTGCTACAAATACAATAAATTCAGCCTAATACAATAAATTCAGCCTACTACAATATAGGATTTTTTATAAACGTACCGTCCAAATAAACTTTATTCAACTGAATACAATATTGAGCCTTCAGGATGTAAAAAATAAGACAAAAACAACAACAAATAAAACTAAATAAATAAGGGAAGACTTAATGACTTTTGCCTAGGGTTAACCCTCTAGGGGCTTAGCACACCCTACACCCGATCGCCTGACCAATGGTGCACTCAAAATTTCAGATCGTATTGAACTCTCACATCCTACACCCAATTGCCTAGGCTGGCCGTGACCCTCTTTTACTTTCTCCTAGATTTGGTCTTGTCACCTTAGACACTTATGTGGGGAGGCATGCCTCCTAAGAAGAGAGAAAGAGAGAGAAACCCAGATAGAGTGATGAGAGGGAAATTTAGAGAGGGGTGTGGAGGAGAGAGAAAGGGTAGAGAGATCAAATGTATAAAATGAGTGGGAGACGAACCCTATTTATAAACCTCTAGGGCCTAGGGTGTCCCAGCCAAATTAGGAGTTCAACTTGATCTAGAATTATTTAGGAGATTTGTGAGGTGAGAGAAATTTAATCTGAGCTATTCATATCCAATTAGCCATCATGATCTAGAATGAATTTTTAGGAACCTTATCCCTTGAGATTTGACTCATATCTACTTCTAATCCATCTAGAACTTTGACCAGTCAAAACTTATCGTCTAGAATTATCTAGGACAATTTAGATTAAACCAGAAATCCTATTTTCTCACAAAGAGATATTTAGGAATTCAAATTAATTCAAAGTTGGTCTAAGATTTCTAGATAACAAGAAAAATCACTAAGGTAATCTTGGAAGAATATTTTTAACCAAAATAATTTTATTAAGAAAATATTCCAAAAGAATATTTTAATAAAGAAAGGACATGTGCCACATAAAAGTGGGCTTCCCAATTTATGGGACGTGTTGCCCCTAGTGGGCCCCATATGATGCCCTCTAGTGGGGCCTCCATGTGTGAGGCTGGCCCTTAGCTCCTCCACATGGGTCCCACAAAATTTTATAAATTTTTCAAAATGCCCATGTAATTTTAAAAATTCCAAAAATACCTTTTAGGGCTTTTGCACATTTTAAAATCGTTTTTAAAATTTTGAAAAATTATCAAAATTCACAGTAACACATTTTAAGTTGAAAACAATATTTTTGGAGTTCCACAAAAATCCAAGACACAAAAATACAGTTTAGAAGTGGATAGGTACCAAATGGATAAAAAAAAACCAATATCAGGACACTCCACCCATGTCAGGATCCATGATCCACTACTCTCTTCTCAAATTAACCCAACGAAACCCATGAGCCACAGTCAAGTGTAGGGGCTCATTATTGGCCCATCAAAGTTAACTAATAAACCGTGCAAGTATATGGATTATACGTTCCTCCCTTAAGAGCAAGTTAGATGCACACATAATGCAAGGCGACGCTATATAGGGTTGCTTCCTAAAATGCACATGTACATGTGTTCCTCTATATAGGGTTGCTTCCTAAAATGCGGCTATCAAATATACATGTCATGCAGAAGTTTTGTTGAAGATTTAGCCATCGTTCTCACAGACCCTTCCACACAACTTTTTGGGCCTACAAACAACATCCTTGGGCATCTTTTTGACCTCAACAAGGAATGACCCACAGTAAACCCTCAACGATAGTGCCACATGCCTAAGGGTAGGGGTTTTGGACATGATTCGGGCCATAAACCACACAAACCTAGGTCAGTCAGCTACAATACACTCCTACTGAAGTGCACAAATTACTATAAATGATTTTATTTACAAGCTTTTTAGGCCTTTAAAGGCCACAAAATCCCAACATCTCCCATTTGGCCTTTGAAGGCCATATAATCTCTCTCTCTCTCTCAAGCCCATCCCATGTACATGCTTGGTAAGCACAGTTTCCACCATTCCTTTGTCAAAGGATTCATAACATAGCCTTAGTTAGGAGATAAATGACCTCATTTTCTCCTGCTTGGATCTTATTGCTAATGTGGTAGTAGTCTGCCTTTATATATCGTGATTTCCTATGAAACTGTGGCTCTTTAGCCACACAAATTGTTGTCTAGTTATCGCAGAAGATCCTCACACAGAGCCCCTTTACTGCATCGAATATGAGTTGATTCAGGAACTTATTCAACCAGACAGCTTCCTTTGCTGCAAGACAACAAGCCATGTATTGACTCCATAGTTGAAAGTGCAACGTCCTGTTTCCTTGAGCACCAGGAAACAACTCCAATGGCAAGTGAGTAGATATACTCGGATGTGGACTCCATCTCATCTAGATCACCCTGACAGTCCGCATCTGAATATCCCTATATTTGAATATCTGAGCCTCCTCCATAGGTGAGAGCAAGACCAATAGTTCCCATCAAATATCGAAGAACCCTCTTTATTGCATTCCAGTCCTGTTGATCACGCTCATAACGAATGAAGATTTCGATCTCATCCCACCATAGCATACATCAGTGACCCTGCACTTCTGTTTGGAATTCTCTGCATGCCCTCTTTATCTTATGTTCTTGTGAGACACATGGCTAGTCTTAACTTGGTTTTCTTATCAATGGGGATAGTATGGGCTTACAATTCTCCATTTCAAATCTTTCCCATATTTTCTTGTAGTATGTCTCTTCCGATAACTGAATGGTTGTCTTTCATATCAAAGTGTTGTGAGAGGAAATCTTTAGTGTCTAGAACAAGAGTCATCGAACTACGGGAAATTAGCAGTCATTGACATATACAGGGAGATGAACACAACTTCGCTCCCACAGACCTTGGCATATATGCAATAATCTTCCTGATTAGGCATGAAGCCAGCTTTTGACAAGGTCTCTTGAAACTTCATATACCACTGCCTAGAAGCTTTATTTAGGCCTAGGTTTGTCTTTCCCTTATCTGTGAAAACCCTGTTTTATGTAAATTTCTTCTTCTAGCTCCCCTTTTAGAAATGTTGTCTTTACATCTATCTAGTGGAGTTTGAAGTCGAAATGGGCTGTTATGGCTATCAAGGTCCTAATAGAACACCTCTTGAGCTCAATGTCAAGGTTCATTCTGCTACAGCTGAGCCTCTTTCTAACCCCTCTATATCGTGAACTTATTGGCAGTCTTAGTATCTGATGATCACTCACCTGGACATTTCATATGCAGTGCAAGTTGTGTCAGTTGCCTCCCCTGGTCAATTTACTAGGCCACTCTCTTCTGTATTATTTGGTATATTTGTGATACTTTATCACATTCGTTGGTCCTCACATCTTCCTCTGTGCTTCAGCTATGCCTTACACTGAGGCTGACTGGGCCAGTGATGTGAATGATGGCTATTCTGCTTCTAGCTTCTGAATATTTTTGGGTGACTTTATCATATCTTGGAGATGCAAGAAGTAGGACACCCCTGCACACTCTAGTGCCAAGGCTGAGTACCATGCCATGCTGACAGTAATGCAAATGTCATTTGGCTCTTTTGCTCCTTGCCGATTTGGGTGTCCATCTCATTACTCCTGCCTCATTATACTGCAATGAAGGTGCCATTCAGATCGACACAAATCCTGTCTATCATGATCGAGCCGAGCATTTTTAGCTCGGATGCTGCTTTATTCGGTATAACTTTGACTCTTGCACTCTCATGTTGCCTCATATTTCATCACACTCCACTTGCAGACTTATTCACTAAGTCACACCATCCCTTGGTTCTGAATTCAAACTCTCAATGGTCTCACATCACCCCACATGATATACTTGATCCAAGATTTTGGAGACTCTATAAAGAGGTACTGTAAGAACCAAAAAATTAAAAGAAAAATGCTTCAATTTACTTGAAACCCTTTTTAATCATACCTGAACCTCTTCAATATGGATATCAGAGTTTCTGGCTCAACAAGCCAAGTAAAAGCCCTCGAGAACTTTGAGGATCTGAGGCATCCATGCAAATGATGTCACCACAGTATGTAAAACGTGCAGAGAAAAGTAAAGATATTATAGAAAATTAAAGTGAATCAAGTCACAGTCCTACATGGGTTTCTTTAGAATATCAATGGGATATGATTACATGTTTGCTCTCTGTTCATTTATAGTAGTTACATGTATGTCATTTACAACAATGACACTCTCATTGCTGCAAATCATAGTATACTCGATAGACTATATACAACACTTACCATTTACAATCACTGAGAAGTGTTTTTCATCCTCTTTGAGAAACCCTAGTTGATGGTATTGATAAAAGAAACAAGGTCAATCCTTTTTTTCTGCAGTGAAAGTGACACATAACAAACCAACCTTCTTTAATGTTTAACATCAGAAATTCTTGATGTATTACACTATTATCTTCATGTATTTCTTGATCCTAGAGAAAAATTGTATACAATGTAGGCCAGTGAAAATTGATTATGCGTTTAATGGGTGCTCTATGTATCATTTTCTTTACTGAACACTTTGTTATCTATTGATGCTTAAAATGGTTCTCAAATTCTCAAATTTTCTGATTTCATTCTTTGTTATGAAGTACTCACGCAAGACTGTCCATGATGCAGATACTAGATAATGATGGACTTGCTTGTCCTGGTGAAATAATTGGACCTAATGATATTTATGTAAACAAGCAAAGTCCGGTAAATACAACTCCCACTCCCAATAGGGAATTATCTGACAGGTGAGTTTACTTAACCAAGTTAAATTAATCAACCCTCTGTTTCCAGATGGAGAGTGGGGATAGACTCTAGTATGGATGTGAAAAACATTCTGGAGGAACTGCCGTTCATTTCCGCTGGTTGTCTTTTAGATGTACAGTGGATGTCCTGTCTGTGTATAAATACCATATATATGATGTTTTGCTTCGGTTTCCATTTTAACTTATGATGGAATCTCTTTATTACGTATGTTTCCATGTGAACTAAATCATGTGGCTTCTGAATCCCAGTCAATATAAGACCACACATGTAACCTACAAAGGTCCCAAAGGGGAAACAGCTGTTGTTGATAAGGTGCTACTAATGTCAGATACCAATGAAAACTTATGCATCAAATTTCTCTTTCGTCATACCCGTAGGCCTGAGGTAAACGCCAAATACAGTACCTTAGCTAAATTTAGTTTCTGCTTTGATTATAAGGAAACCAGTTAAATGTTTCCAAATTTTACAAAACTAATACGCATTCTCATTATTGGCTATTAGGTGGGTGATAAATTCAGTAGCAGGCATGAGCAGAAAGATGTTTGTGGTACCATCGTACAGCAGGAAGACTTTCCGTTTTCTGAACATGGGATTTGCCCTGTCTTGATTATGAATCCTCATGGTTATCCTAGGTACTCTTTACTTAATGAGGACGTGATAGTTTCCATTAGTTTTGTAAATGAGTGTTTTTCTGAAAAATCTTGCATAATCATTCGATAGTTATATTATGTAGTGCTTTGCAGTTTGCAGTCCACATTTTTATTGCATCTCTTTGAAACATATCATTGTGGTTAGGTAAACATGGTGCATTTAATGTGAAGCCTTTCGGCTGTATTCCATGTTTATGTGATTTTTCACTTGCTTTGTAGCTGCAAATCTCAATTGTTTGTTCTCTGAAACATTTGCTATAATTGCTGGTGTTTTACTACTTGTCAAACTGAATTACCCAAGCCATATAAAGATTGTATGTTTGCAAGAAATTTAATGTTTTTCTCATACTCATGTTTCACCATCATCATCTGAGCCTTTCCCAATTATTTAGGGTCGGCTATACTCGTCTGCCATTCTACTCTATCAAAGACCATACTTTCATTGAGGCCATAAATCCCCATATCTTCTCTCACTACTTCCAACCATGTCCTTTTGGCCTACCCCTTGTCGTTTTTTAGCCTTCCACTTGAACCAACTCGCACCTCCTAACAAACGTTGTACTAGGTCTGTGTTGCACATGGCCAGCCACCGAAGTCTATTTACTCTCATCTTATTGCCTATTAGAGCCACACCTAGGTTCTTCCTAATGTATTCATTTCGAATTCTATCCCTTGTTGTCTTGTCACTCAGCAATCTCAACATCCTCGTCTCAGCTACACTCATTATATAAATATGTTGTTTCTTGACCGCCCAATATTTTGCCCCATAGAGCAAAGTTGGTCTCACAGTTGTCCTATAGAACTTCCCCTTCAGCTTCATTGGTATACGATGTTCACATAAAACTCCGATTTCATATCTTCGCTTCGCCCACTCAGTTCTAATTCTATATACGACATCTTACTCAATCTCTCTATTCTTGGATTATCGACCCAAGATGTCAAAATTGCTCTCTTTTTTGGTATTTCTTTGCTGTCAAACTAAACTTCTTTCTCGTCTATGCTCTTATTATTACTAAACTTACATTCTATATGCTCTATCTTAACTCTGTGTCGACGCCCCTTCGGGTCTCGATCAAAACTATGTTGTCTGCAGAGAACATACACCACGTACCTCATCTTATAGGTGTCTAGTTAAGTCGTCCATAACTCAGACAAAGAGGTATGGGCTCAACATATATCTATTGTCACTGAAAACTCACTCATCACTCCCTAGTTATCTGCACACTAGTTAGCGCTCCTTCGTATATATCTCTCACTAAGTCGATATAATATCTTGAGACTCCTTTCTTTTCTAACATCAACCAAATTAAACCTCAAGGTACTCTATCATAAGATTTTTCTAGATCAATGAAGACCTTTTAGAGGTCTTTTCCCTTTGCTCTAAATTTCTCAATAAGTTGTCTAAGTAGGAAAATAGCCTCAATTGTTGACCTTCCTAGGTTAAAATCGAATTGGTTTTCTTATACATCTGTTTCATGCCTTAATTTTTGCTCGATCACTCTCTCCCACAGCTTTCTAGTGTGGCTCATAAGTTTGATCCCTCGATAGATTGCACAACTCTGTATGTCTCCTTTGTTCTTAGGAATAAGTACCACATTGCTTTTCCTCTATTTGTCTAGCATTTTCGTTTGTTCTCAACACTTTGTTGAACAACATGGTGAGCCAGTCGATGTCAATGTCCCCTATGCATTTCTAAACGTCTATCGGATACCATCTGGTCCTAAAGCCTTTCTTATCTTCATCTACTTCTTTCACCTTTGATATCCTAATCTTACGAATGTATATATGACCTCCACCCTCAATTGTGCCAACAGTTCCTTCTACCGTTGTGTTTCCACTGTGTTCGTCGTTTAATAATTTTTGAAAATGAACTCTTCGCCTTTCGTTGCCTTCTTCATCCTTCACCAAAACACTTTGATCATCACTCGTAATGCATTTAATATGGTCTAAATCCCTGCACTTTTTCTCTCTCATTTTTGCTAGTTTGAAGACATCTTTTTTATCTTTTCTTGTTTCCAGTTTACTTTAGATTATCATATGCCTTAAGTTTAGCCTTACTTACTATTTGTTTAGCATTTGTCTGAGCATTTTTATATTTTTTTAAGTTTTGATCATATCTATTACATTGTCAAGTTTTATAACATGATCGTTTTTTACTCCATAATCACAAGCCTATTCTGTGTAGTTTAACTCTTTCTTGGAATAACCTTACAATCTTTACATGATGGCCGATCTACTTTCTTAACTAGGAAGAAGCCTATCCGGCTTTTATGCGATCCACTTTAATAAATTATTAAATGTTTATCTCACTTTTTAAAATAAGTGTTTATTATTATTAGGTCGTAGGCCATAGCAAAAAGTAGAATAGCCTCACCCATCTCATTTCTTTCCCTATATCCCCATGTACCCCTTCATATCCTCTACTATCCTTCCTTACATGACTATTTAATTTTTTTATTTTGGGTGAGTCAGTGGGGGAGAAGGCCCTCTACCCGTTTTTTCATTGATAAATGAGTAGAGAAAAACAATTAACGTACAACCCTATAGTAGGGCAGTTGCGCCAAATCATGTAATAAAATAGAGGAAAGAAAATCTGGTGGTCTATGGCGTCACACAGTAGCACCAGGGCCAGCAAATGCCCTCTTAGCGAGGGCATCAACAACCATGCTTGCCTTTCGCAAAACATGTGCAATGGACCATCGATGAGAAGAAAGTCTGGCATGGCAATTATCTGCAATCGTCTTTATCCACCATGGTGCACGGCATTGATTATGAATGCCATCCACAAGCAGGGCTAAATCACTATCTATTTGTATTGAAAAGCAATTCCTTTAATGAACCAACTGAACTCCTTCTTCAAGTGCCAAGAATTCTGCATGGTTATTAGAAGCAAAACCAAAATATTTTGCACAAGCAGCAATGAAACCACCCTCTCTTTCCTGATGACTCCACCACCACCAGCTAAAAAAGTCCTCTCTTCATTTGGTATGTCTTGGACTAGTCCATCCATGTCCTCCCAAAATTATCTCTTAATTCTATACTCAGTCCTATTTATGGTGCATAAGCACTAATTACATTTAATACAAGTTCAATTAATAAGAGCCTACCATCTACTCTCTTGACATGACATTAACTATTTTATCTTTTAAATCTTTGTCTACTATTATACCTATGCCATTTTTATTATTATTCTTTTCTATATACCAAAGTTTATACCCATCTATTTCCTTAGCTTTTTCCTCTTTCCACTTAGTTTTCTGTAGACAAGCTATGTTTACTCTCCTTCGTCCCATTGTACCCACTAACTTCATACTCTTACTTGTAATCATTCCTACATTCCATGTGGCTAAACGAATCCTATTATCTTAGACCAGCTTCTTTACCTATGCTCATCCAGCATGTCACAAGAACCCTCGCCTATTTTTCACCACAACGGGCAGCATTATGGCGCATCGTTTCTGGGGAACGCCCTAGCTAACTCTTGCTCATTTCTTACTGTACTTGGGTTCCCGTACATCGGCTTATGGGTAACACCCTAGTATAAGCAGATAGCGTAGATTCAGGATTCATGAAAAAAAATTGCAAAGTTGCCAATGAGAGTAATATATATTTTACTAAATATGTTGGGCCTTAGGATTATAATTCAAAAAATATTCATTTTGATTCTTCTCTTCCTCATGGCTTATTCTACTCATGCAAAGCTGGCATACTTCTAATGGGGGACTTATAACATGGATTTTTGGGGTAATTTCCTCATGAGAAGTCATTATATCTACACTCCCCCTAGAATATTTATGGCATACTTTCTCTCTCCCCCTCTCCCACCCACCCACCCACCCAACCCCCCCCGCCCCCGACGAGAACTCCCACCCTCTTCCCTCCCTCAAGAATAGGAACATACAGTTTGCTGCCTGGAGCATGTTCCTTCCATGATTACATCTTTGGCATGAGCCATAGTCATGCAACTACATATTGGCATAGCATTGTCATTCTTGGAATTGGTATTCCCTTGCAATTCCTAGATATCCTACTGTGGATTCTTCTCGGCCTTGATCTGTCTTGGCATTTATTCTAATGAAGGTTTGACCTTTAGTGGGATCAGATCTAACCTATGTATTGAGATTTGATTTCAGTATTGGTTTGTTCTCCTTTTAGTCATTCGACATTTTGGTTTTCTTTATTTGGGGTACTTTATGAGGTCCATTTTCCTTTGAGGCATCTTGTTTCTTATCAGAGATTTTGCAGAAGTTGCAAACATATGGACTGCTGGCATTTGTTTTGATAAACAGACCCTAAATGGACTCCTTGGTTGTATATCTTCCTAATCTGATCAAGGATTTCACTTTTTGAAATGGTGGAGAGAGGTTTAATGTTCTGTTGTTGTCATGTTTTGCTGAATGCTCAATTTCCCTTAATAGTGCCTCAGTCATAACATGTTGCACCATCAGTTTGATGAATCCTGTTGATATACTTTTCGTTAATATGCTTACTTCCTGTGTTTGAAGTATAGTGGCAATCTTTTTCTGTAACAAGTGCACAGTTGGTTTATGGATCTTGTACTAGTACTTGACCCTTACAGAATTGTTTTGTGTAGCCACTCATTTTAACAAATACTAACTACTTGATTGTTTTCCACAGTGGTTTCAATTTAGTGAGGCTTGGTGATTAATTTACATGCCGACCCCAAATAATTGGGTTAAGGCTTGGATGATGATCATGATGATGACGATGGTGCTTAATTTACATGATTTCATTGATGGTATCAGGCAAATAAAAGATTCATAAACTTTCCTTTGGAGAAGATTTCAGACAATACAATTCATGATCAATTTATTGATGAGATAAAAAACGTTCTGGCTCAACATTAGAGAAATATTTGTTCTTCCACATTCTTAAGTCGCTACTCTCTTGTAATGTGGCTGAGATAGCAGTTTTTCGGACAAAAATCCACTTACAAGAGGCTCAGTAGAAATGCAAAATTGTCCAATTGTGCAACAAATATGAGACTGCCATCTCTTTATTAAATGAAACCTCCTTATTGTTTTAATTGTTACCTTGATTAGACTTTCTCTTTGTTCTCTTTAGTTATTCATAAAGCTTACTAGCATACGACTTATGATTGGCATTACACTGATCAGATTCTTTTCAATTTGGAATGTTCCCCTGTGCTTACATAGGTCCTAGATAAGATGCATGCTCGGCCTAGCGGGCCTAAGGTGTTGCTCACTAGACAACCAACCGAAGGACGGGCTTGGGATGGAGGTCATTAGAATTATTGCATCCTTGCATCTTCTTTATGTGAAAACACACACACAAGATATCTCTCCAGTGATCAGTTCTTAGCAATTGAGTTATTTGATTCTTTATTTTTCCAGGACTAAGGTTATGGGAAATGGAGCGCGACTGTTTGATAGCTTACGGTGCAAGTAATATGATCCTAGAACGCTTGATGATCTCCAGTGATAAGTTTCAGGTTCAGGTATGACTGGTTGGTGATTATCCTGTAATGGTATGAACACTTAGACAATACCATACCCGTTTTCTGCAGCCTAGAGACCATATATTACCTTCTCTCTTCAGCTATAATTTTCTGTTGTACAGGAATTGGGTTTGGACTTGATTGGTTAGTTGTTGACAACTACAACACTATGTCCCAAGTTCAGTTCCTACTACTGAACTACCCGAAAACAGAATATCCTCTTGTACATTGGATAGAAACTGTTTTTGTTTAGGTGTTTCTATGTCAAAGTTGAAATGCCTGTTGATCTAGAATAATTGAATTTTTGAATTGGTTCTCTTTTCTGCTAGATATTGAGGCAATTTGAATTGCTGCATGCGCTGCAAAATTCCATCTGCATTATTTCAACTTGCCTACTCAAAAAGGCTTTTCTCCAGTTTTTTTTTTTTTGTGGTTTCCCCCCCTTCTTGGGGTTGCACATGTCCCAACGTTTAAACGAAGAATCAAAGAGCAGTTTGTTGTTCCCAAGGTTTGAAACCTTGCCAAGGGCTTAAGAATGCCCAAATCTGGGTGGATCAGCCTCTTTGCTAGTAAAACTATGTAAAGAAAAAAAAAACATCGAGGTTCGTCGATGTCATGAGTCACCTTGCCACAGAGATCCACTAATTCCCAAGACAAGTATGAGCTTTGGAAAAGTCTGAGCCTTTGAACTATGTTATAATGTCTGATGTGAAATCAAAACATATTCTTATTTCTGAGTATGCTACTTTTGAAATGTTTTTTTGCAAAAGGATGAAAATGTGTTATTTCTTGGAAACCCCAGTATTGGTTCTAAATTAGTTGCTTGTCCATAGAATGTATTTTATAAAATATATGCCAACACTAATCGGTGGTGCATGAGATCACTATGGTTTCTGCTTCCTTTTCTCGCCCTCCCTGCTTTGGCTTGATTGCCTCCTCTTCTCGTCCTTCCCACTCTGGCTCGTCCACCCCTCCTTCTCGTCTTCCTCGTTCTCACCCGACAACCTCTTCGGCCTGTGGAGTAACCCTGGCTCCTTCACGTGATAAAGGGAAGTTTCCAGCTTTCTCCTCGAACCCTCCTCCCATTGGCCCCCCACCTTTCTATTGCAACTATGCTCACCTCTTGAACCCTCAGCTACCTCCCAAGGCCCCCACTCCTGCCTGTCCCCCCCCCCCTTAGCCCTGCCAGACCCCGTTTGGCCTCGATCAGAGCTGCTTCCTCCTCTGAGCCCCATCCCAGCTTCAGACTTGCCCATTTGCCCTAAGCATGCTCTGGTTGGTGCCTTCCACCCCTGTCGTGATGACATCTAGGGCATTGAGAAATGGGCACAAGCCTGCTGGAAAGATCCTGACCTTCATTGCAGGCGGTTCTCCAATGGGAGAATCCTTCTCCTCTTTTCCTCCCTACCTGGAGCTGTTGGAGCACTAAAGGCTCCACTTCAAGAATCCTTCTCCTCTTTTCCTTCAAAGGGGCCTCTCTCGCCTTGAAGTAGTGGTCGTCCCAAGTCAATGCTTCCATCTCCTTCAAGTATTGGCTCCGGGTTGATAACATTCCATTTCATGCTTGGCATCCCACAACCTTGTCCTCCATAGGAGCTAAAGGTGGGAAATTGGTAGCTGTTAACTAGAAAGCATGGGAATATCTCCTCGTGAGATCTGTTCTTCTCCTGGTTGAGGTCTTTGACTTGTCCAATTTCCCTAAGCTTTTGTGATGTTGCTTAGCTAAAGTTTTCTATCGCCTCTTGACCTGGAATCCGGCCTCCCCAAATACCTTGGCCTCTGCCTCTCTTCCACTCTTGTCTCTGGAGAAGTGGACTATTGTTAAGCGGAAGTTCAAGTGGCCCCCCCAACCATTCCCTTCTCACAACCGTCCTCACCAACCTAAGCGTTCTCCTCCTCCTCTCGCACCCCCTAATGGTTGCCAATCTGCAGGACAAGCTCCCCTTCCGGTGCCAGATTCTTGCCCTCTGGCACTCAAAGCGACCGCTCACGCTCCCCCTACAACGCCGTCCGGTCGCTTCCCGACTGCAGCTTACGATCCTAGTCTCTTGCCGGCATGTGGCAGGACGCTTGTCTGTACCCCGAGAGTGCCATCCCCTTTGGTACACGTGCCACGGGATGACGTCAACGACCTTTTTGCCTCGGTTCCTTGCCCCTCTTCTCTGTCGTTGATCACTCCTTCCCCTGGCATCTTATCCAACTCTCTCCTTGAGAGTGGCCTTTCCCTAGATCTCCCCCTGTTGTAGCCATCTACTACAGTGCCATCCTCATCGAGCCCGATGGAGCCCACCGCCATCTCCTCTCTTTCCGAGGCTGCCCCCATTTCGCCCTTACTCATTACCTTTTCACCTACCCCTACTCTCCTTCTGCTCTCTACCTTGGCATGCGCCCCTTCTTCCTTAGTTGCCCCCTCACCTGTCCTCTCTCCCCTGCTAGCTTTTATTGAACCCCCTCCGCCGACGGGGCAATTGAAACCTTCTTCAAGCCCTCTACCCTGGTAATCGAGTCTCCCTGTGGAGGTTGACAGTGAACCTGAGCCGGACCCGGCTTCTCCTTTGCCCCCTTCTTCTCTCCCCCTTCCCTTGGATGTATTGTCTCCTTCCCCTCTCGCTCCTTCCCCATCCTGTCTTGTCTTTGCTACTCCTTCTGCCGTCGTTCTCTCCTGTCACGTTCCCATCCCCCATTCACCTCATCATGACTCCCTCTCCCCTCTCTGCCCGACCTTCTCTCCTGCCTGACCAGGAGCTGTCCCCTATCCTGTGTCAGCTCTCCCCTATGGTGGATGTTCTCCCCTCCCTCCCTTTTGTTACCTCTGAGAGTCTATCTCCCTCTTCCCCTTCAACGACTCTCCTTCTCCCCCTCCCTCTCTGAGAACCCCCTCCCTCTCTGAGAACCCCTACGGGCCCTTTGCCTGAGCCACCCTTCCTCTGGCACCCTCCTCTGGTGCTACTTTTCTCTTGCACCCCTCACCCCCTGACCTTCTCGGCCCATGCTATGGTCGTAGTGCACTCTTTCTCATGCTCCCTTACGCCGCTTCATTCCAACCCTCTTGCTTGGTTTCCCCCCACTCTCTCCTTCCGGGGCTGCAGCTTGTTGAGACTTACCTTGCTCTGCCTGATTTTTTCGACTCACCTCTTCTCACGTCCATTCCTTCCCCCTCTAACCTTCCTTGTTCATCCGCTCCCCTCTGCTTTCCTCCCTAGATCTCTCGCTTCCTCCACTCCTCTTCTAGCCTGTTTGGTTGCTCCCTTGGCTTCTCTTCCTCCCCTCGCTGCTCCACCTCCGATTTCGGAGTCTTCTCCGGCTCATCCACCCTCTTTTGCCCCCGGCCCCTCCTCGCCACCTCTCTTCCCCTTGGGGAATTCCAACATCTGGGCCCTTTCTCCTTCGAACTTCAGCAGCTCCCTTTGTCGTCCCTCTCCACCTCTTTCGGTGGGGTCTTCTGCTCTAGGATGGATAAGGCCCAAGGTCGCGTTGACAAGGTGATGGGAGTGATTGGATTCAAGTTCAATGGTTCTAAGGAGGACATCGAGGCTTTCTTCAAATTAGATGCTCATTCCAGATTCAAAGTGAGTAACATAAGCTCTAAGGAACTAGCTAAACTTGCTTGTAGCATAAATTACGACCGGCCTAGTTCTTCCCGGCCTTGCTTGCTGGCGGCAAACCCTGATGCTCCCACCACCTCCAGACTCTGGTCCAAGAGATCTTTCTCTTTACCAAGATTATGAAATCCCGGTGTGGAACATTAGGGTCTCGGATCCCCTCGCAAGATTTGGGCGGTTCATGACTTCTGCCTACAGCATTCCCCAGAGCTATTGGCCCTTATTGAAATCAAATCTTCCTCCCCAACCCTGAGACAGGTTTACCAGGTATGGGGTCGCAAACCCTGCCAATGGGTAGCCCTAGACGTAGTGGGTGCATCCAGTGGCGTCTGGGTGTTTTGGGACCCATCCACCTTTTGGGCTTGAGGATTCCTGGATTGCAACGCGGCTGGTGACGGTGTCTCTCTGCTGCATCTCGGACGGTCTCTGCCGGAAGTTCTCACCAGTCTATGGTCTGAACTCCAGCTCCAACTAATTGATCATGTGTCAAGAATTAGACCTCGTTCTACATGCTGGGGGATCGGGGGAGACTTTAATGTCACAAGGTGGTCCCACGAACGCAATTCCTCTACGGTCATTACTCCGGCGATGCTAGCCTTTGCTGACTTCATTGTCAAACATGAGCTGGTGGGTATCCCGTTGTTAGGATCCCAATTCACATGGTCCAACTTTGTTTCTCGATCCAAAAATAGATCGGTTCCTCTGGTCCAAATCAAGGAACTCGACCAAGATAGAGCTCCAGACCGTGATGGATTCCCAGTGGCCTTCTTTGCCCGCCACTGGAACATCGTATGCCTCGATGTTCTTGTTTTCTTTGCTGAATTTTTTGAGTGGGCGCCATCCATAGGGGCATGAATGCCACATTCATCGCCCTTATCCCTAAAGTGAAGGGGGCAGTGGAGCTGAAAGATTTTAGGCCTATCAGCCTCATTAATAGCTTCCATAAGATCTTGGCAAAGGTCTTGGCTTCCCGACTGAAATCGGTGCTCAGTTCGGTGATTTCTCCTAACCAAAGCGCCTTCATTAAAGATAGGCAGATCCTCGATGGAGCACTGGTGGCCCATGAATGCATACACATGAGGACGTCTTTCAAAACCCTCAGTCTGATTGTCAAATTAGACTGAGAAAAGGCCTATGACCACGACAACTGAGACGTCCTGCAAGAAACCAAAAGAAGGATGGGCTTTGGGAGAAGATGGAAGAAATGGATCAGGGGGTGTATTCGTGGCCCTTTCTTCTCAATTCTCATCAATGGTTCCCCCAAAGGATTCTTTCAATCTGAAAGAGGTCTATGTCAAGGAGACCCCGTCTCCCCCTTTCTTTTTGCCATAGCAGTAGAGGTTTTTAGTAGGACAATGGCCAAACTCTATTAGGTGGGATTGGCTAAAAGCTTTCAGATAGGAAGGGAGGGCCCTTGGGTGTCACACTTACAATATGCTGACAACACCCTTCTATCCTATGAAGTTGAACCCCACTAGGTTCACAACCTTCTTACCTTTAATGCTTTCACTTTGCAACAAGTTTTAAGTTCAACCTTCAAAAGACCAAGATGATAGGTACCCTGACCAACCCCACCCCCTTTGCCTCTATTTTGGGTTGTGGAGTCAATTCCCTATCGGCCACCTACCTGGGTCTACCGCGATGGTACGAGAAACCCAAGAAGGTTCGCTGGAGCCATATCATCGATAGGGTGGTAAGGAAGCTAGCCTTTTGGGAAGGGCGTTTTCTTTCACTGGCGGGTAGACTCATATTCATCAAAGCAGTGCTCTCTGGAGTACCCATCTTTCAGATGCCCCTTTTCTATATTCCTGCGGCTGTGCGTAACCGATTGGAGCAACTCATGCGAAACTTTTTGTGGTCAGGAGACGGCTCCACTAAGAAATTCCACCTTATTGCTTGGAATGTAACCTGCCTTTAGAGATCCAAAGTATTCTCTTGTGCAAATGGTGGTGGTGGCTCGCCACTCAGCCCAATAACCTCTTCCACGTCATCCTCTGAGCCAAGTATTCTCTTGCAGCCTCACCCTGGTCTGTTCCCCACGCCCAACCCAGTCTTGCCCCGGGATTCTGGAGGTCTATTTCACACTCTATCGAGCTCTCTTGCCCACATCAGGTTCTTTCCCAGAGGAGGGACCAATGTTCGCTTTTGGCTCGAGACTTGGATAGGAGAATCCCCTCTAGCTACCCAATTCCCATCCCTTTTCGGCTGGTCCATGACCCTCGGGCCTCGATCGCCGACCTCTTTCCAGCCTCGGGCTCTTCCAGATCTTGGAGCCCTGACCTTCGCAGACCCCTTAGAGATGGGGAGCTTGCAGAGTTCTTATTACTTTCCTCACTTTTCTCCTCTGCCCATCTACCTCTCTCGGGGGCTGACAAACTCAGCTGGTCACCCTTCTGGCTCCTTCTCTGTCTCTTCTCTGTTTCGTTTTCTTAACCTAGCCCAACCCGACCCCTCGGTCACCTCCTTAGCAACCCTCTTGTTTCTAGGGCCTGGAACCCCTTCATCCCTCCTAGAATCCAGTTCTTTAACTGGCTGTGTAGATCAGTTACAAAGACGTGGCCTCCAAACCCCCAATAGATGTGTAATGTGCTGGTCTGCTGATGAAACTATCAATCAAGTCATGATCCACTGCCCCATCACTTCTAAACTCTCGAAAGACTCTCCTTCTCTTCGGTTTGGAATGGGTCTCCCCCCAATCTGTCCCCAACCTCTTCAAACTCTCCTCCTTCCTCCCATGGGCCAAAGCCAGCACCCTGCTTTGGAAGGCAACGGTTGTCGTGACACTTTGGACAATATGGAAGGAACGTAACAACAAGATCTTCCAAGGCCTAGTAGCACCACTACATAAACTATTCGACACTATTTCGGGAATGGTAATTTTCTGGGCTACCAATCATAAGCTCTTTAAGGCTTGCCCGCTCGCGACTTTCACCTCAATTGGAGCCATGTCCTCTCCTTTAAACAAAAAAGAATCCCGAGGTCCGCCTCTTGGATGCCTCCTGAAAGGGCAACTATCAACCTAAACTTAGATGTGTCCTCTTTTGAGAACCCAGGCCCGGCCGGCATAGGAGCTTTATTCCACAACCATGAACGAATAACACTTCTTTCCTACTCCTCCATAGGAAAAGCTGACTCCACAGAGGCCGAAGCCCGAGCTCTACTACAAGGCTTGTGACTTTTTGACCCAGAATGAGGAGCTTCCTTAGTGGCCAAAGGGGACTCCAAAAACGTCATTCAATGGGAGTCTTGCATACCTCAGTATTGCATAACTCAACCCCCTTGGAGACTGGCATATTTTTTATGAAATCCATGATCTACGCGGGCATATACGGGTGTCCTGGACACATATTTGGCAGGAGGGAAACCAGATAGCTGACGAGCTAGCCAGACAGGTAGCTGCGCAGTCTTGAAGATTCACATTGGGATCCTCTTTTGCTCTTGTTCGGGTCACTTCGCTTATGTTATATCTCTTCTAAGTGGGCCTTATTTATATTTTTTAGGGCATGGGGTGTTTCTGTTTTGTCTTAGTCACCTCTCTCGGTGACATACCCTACGGGCAACCTTTGTATTTTCTCATCCTTCAATACGTTAACATTCTCAAAAAATATATGCCAACACTTTGACAAACTTATTTTGTTTATTATTTAAAAGATTACTGCTGTGAAGTTCAATATATTCTGTTAGATCTCTTGAAGTCATTTTTAAAGACTAGGGGAACTTCTAAGATTTTCACAATAATGGCTTCAAAATTCAACATTGAGAGTTTGGGAGCTTCCTACCCATGGAGGTAGTCTTTCCTGTATATCGTCTGTATTGTTTCATAGGGCCTGGTGGCTCTGTAACTGGAGGCGGCCTTGGTAGGGAAACTCCGTTAAAGTCTGTAGTCTTTTATGAAGGGCTTAGAGTAGATTTTGTAGTACAGTGTAAAATATATAATTAAAGCAAACATTCACCTGCATCTTTTTGTTTTGAAGTAATCTTCATTATGTTACTAGTACTGAATGTTTTCTGCTTTTGCATTCACCATTTCTGATTTTAAAACTATGCAAAGGCTTCCCTTGTAACCATGCGAAGATGTAAATTGTGTCTGTTTATAGCTAAGGTGAATGCAGGTCCATCGTCTCCAGCTTTATTTTTTCACAGGTCTGCACAAAATGTGGTTTGTTGGGATATTACCATCATACATTGAAAATGGCCTGGTGTAATGTCTCTACTTTGACACTACCTTAGGCATGCAAGCTTCTAATCCAGGTTCATCCCACCCCTTTCAATATAGGAATAGTACACCATTATCTTAAATAGCTTATAATCCAATTGGACTACATAATTCCAACCACTTCCTGCAACACATTTCATTGGATGATGATGACCTAAAGGCCAAATGTTTTTTCCATAGTCCCTTGTATTGTAATATACTCTCCCTTCATGTTGATGTATTCTATTATGTTGAATAGGCAGAAATAATTTCTTAATTTTAATTAAATCATGCTTAGTTATAGACAACATTTCCAGTGGCATTCCTTGGAAATACCGAGTAACATAATTGGGAAATTGGTACTAAGTCAAGTCCTTTTTCTAATGTTTGTGTTTCCCTTTTTGGTTCTTCTGGGCAGTTTAATCTGTAGTAGGAATTCTACCCATATATTAATGTGTGTGTGTGTGTGTGTGTGTGTTTGTGTGTGCCTGTGGGTGGGTGGGTGTGTTGGTCTAGACTTATATTCTTCACAAGCTGTTCTTTGGCTCCTATCTTCTGAAGTATTTGTGCCAAAATTAGGTTAACATTATCAAAAAAAAATATTTATGCCAAAATTCAATTCCTGAAGTTTCTTTGTTTGAACTTTCAGGAATTGCAAGCAATGAATATCGTCCCTCGTCTCCAACTTTCAGAGGCATGACAAGCTTAATTGTGCAGTTAAGACTTATCCAAATTCTGTGACATGCTAATTGCATATAACTAATATGTGAAATCCACACAACTGCTTGGAAAATGTCCACGATTCTGAAAAGTTAAATAAATCGTCTTCGTGATGCATTATGGGGTGTTAACCAAGCGATGGAAGGAACGTTGAAAAGTAGATTTGTGGAGGCTGCATCCATCAAAAGTCTCTGAAGATTTGAAGTCTCGGTGCTACCTCTCCTACAATAGTAGGTTCTGTGTTTTGTGAATTGAAATCGAACCCCAAATGCAAGAAGTTTCGGGTTGCCAGTTTTGATTAAAACAAATTTGGATTGTCAGCTTAGTCAGGAAAATCAGCTTCTTATGGATGACCTACTATATAGCATATTTATTGGAATTATACATAGGAGACTATGACATTGTGTTTCTACCTGTTATGAATACGAAAGATAAGGTGGTTAGGCTAAATTTTGTGAGTCAAAATAGCTGCTTAAGCTGAGGTTCTAAAACTTGATCATGGGCTTCGGCTTATTGTCTTCTGAGTTGACTCAGGGAGTACATCCCAATTCTTGAGTTAGAATTCAATGGCCGGTAATTTATCAAGTAATTTTTGAAGATTTCCTCTCTCTCTCTCAATATATATATATGCAATTGTCTTATAGTAATTTGATGATATAATAATGTAATGAAACACACCTTCAAATAACCATGTCAAGAGTACTTGTTTGAACATAATTCTTTAACATACATTCAATTTACTATGATGAACATTCTCAAAAATAAACATTGGACATGGACCATAAGAGCTACTTTTTTTAACCCAATTCAGTCGTCATGTTTGGTGGTTGTGATTTATTATTAGCAAATGTGATGCTGCCTATGACTATAAACAGGAACGTGTGCCGCGAAAGCAAGTTTGTATTGTATATTTCAGAAATGTGCATTTGAATCGTTCATTTGTGATCTAGGCTAAAGATTTTTTTTTTTTTTTTTTCTTTAATCCCAGTTTTTGTATGCTTTATATATAAAAAAAAGTTTATATGGGGATGCTACCTTATAATGTAGAACTACGGATGCCCCTCAAAAATCCATCAAAAAATTTAGCTTTAATGTTGAAAAAACTTTTGATTGATCATCTCGATGTCAAGATATATGACTATGAAAAATAAAAAAATTAAGTCTCAGAAGTAGTGCATTTTACAACATATTATCTAAACCGTCCATTTTTAAGATTTTCATATGTTCATAGATCTATTTGATTTTAACCATTT